CAGGGTCTTCTTTCCCCGCTGATTTTGCCAAGCCCGTTCCCTTGGCTGTGGTTTCGCTAGATAGCAGCTAGGGACAGTGGGAATCTCGTTCATCCATTCATGCGCGTCACTAATTAGATGACGAGGCATTTGGCTACCTTAAAGGATGGTCAATCTCTTCCTGAAGACAGAAGACAGACAGAACAACACCGTGGACTTGAAGAATTAACAGCAGGCAAAAGACAGCAGGACTGACCTAAAACACTGAAGGGTCCAGCAGCAGTATGAATACCATCATTGATGGAAACATGCACTCATAATCACAAGCTGGGAAGTGTACCAGAGACATCATTGTGTAAAAGCGCTTGATGAGACTTTCTGAGGTTCATATTCGCCATGCTGGGACTTAAGCGGCAAAAAGAGACTGAAACGAGGAAGAGAGAATGAACAGAGAAGAAGAAACAGTTGATTTGGGCCTGTGTTTGCTGGAGATTCGGGAGCGCACACAGGCAAGTGTGAGAAGAGGAGAGAGGAGGGGTGAGAGATGAAAGCTGAGGCTGGTAAAGTGAGAGCATAGGAAAATTGGGTTGAAAATTGAGGCCAATGGACTTGTGGAGGTTTAGAAATGTCCAGAGCATCGCAACAGAAAGGTAAATAAAATAAATAAAGAAATGAAGAAATAAATAAACTCATAATTATATAAATGAATAGAAAACACACATATACAAATTGTCACATGTGAAATTATTTTTGGACATAATCAGGGGCGAGACAGTTTGAATCCACAGCAAATCTGCATGAATTAATCTGAATACAAACCCATACATGCAATGAAGACAGCTTACACTCATGAATGTTAATATATCACATAAATGCTAAATAGTGTAGATTTAACAGACTTAAATGCTGAAGGTTATCCATTGCTGAGGAATAACTCAAAGTTGCAGGACAAGAGGGGGCTTTTGTGTGCACGAAAAAGAGACTGATAGCCCTGGTGTATGAAGATGGGAATGTTTTTCTTGGAAGTAAAGATGAGCAGGGATTTATCAGTCTGCAAGAAAACTGCATCTAGAAATTGTGAAACAATTTCAGTAACATATTCCTCAATCTAAAATTGCCAAGACAATATCTTATCGGGTACATCACATAATATCATTTCTGAGAATCTGGTGAAATATCTGTGTGCAAGGACCAAGAGCTGCACTGCACAGCCTCAGGAACACTTTTGGAAATCAATGTCTGGGAACACAGTTCACCGTGACATCCACCAATCCAAGCTGAAGTTCTATCATGCAAAGCTCCTTATATGTAAACATAATGCAGACACACCACAGTCTTCCCTGAAAAAGACATCATCTGTATTAAAGCATTTTACACTGTGTCCAAACCCTTTAGGGACTGGGACTGTTTGTTTTTTGTTTGTTTTTTTATTTGGGGCCTGATTTTGACCTTGTATTTTGTGATGGCCAAACCCATGGTCACACTCTAAAGTCACTAACTCTTGTGTATTTTCATTCCTTTATTTGAGCACAATAACACACTTTACTTTCCAATACGTTTGATGACTGGTTTGGATACATTTGTTCTATTTGTAAGCATGCACATTTAGTTTACTTATGTATTCATACTAGTTCATTAACTTGATTTTTGACTAACCTTTGTTTCTTTTACTTCTTACCTGCCATGATCCCTGGAAGTTGCCAGACAAAAGATGGTGGACAGGTTTTGAAGCTGTTAAATACAAAAAGGGATAACTTGACCGCACTACCACTTCCTGCTGAATGGGAGAATGTGTGTTTTCTTTAATTAACAACAAAGTAGTTGTACTTAATTAAATATTTGAGATTAGGGTTCAGTATTTTTGATTTTTTTTTTCTTTAGTGTTTAGTTTATTAACAAACCAGACTATACTACATTGTTTGTTGTTTACAATTGTGTTTTGTTTAGTTACCCCTCGTGTGTCATAGTGGTCTGATCAGCTTTGTGTGTCATTTCATGTTTAATAATAATAATAATAATACATTTTATTTGAGGGCGCCTTTCAGAAACCCAAGGTCACCTTACAAACACAATTAATAAAAGGAACAATAGTCATAAAATACATAAAATAAGTTAAAATTACAAAACAGAGCTTGACAACAGATAAAATCAGCATTAAAGTGAATAAGCCAGTCTAAACAGGTGTGTTTTGAGCTGTGTCTTAAATACGGAAAGGGTGTCAATATTTCTTAGTGCAGGAGGAAGAGAGTTCCAGAGCCGGGGAGCAGAGCGACTGAAAGCTCTGTTCCCCACAGTGATGAGACGTGAGGATGGAACAGTAAGATGAATAGCAGATGAGGATCTGAGAGGGCGGGAAACAGTGGTGATATGGAGCAGGTCACACAAATATGAAGGAGCAGATTTATGGAAACACTTGTATGTAAGAAGTAAGATTTTAAAATTTATCCTGGCTTCTACGGGCAACCAGTGAAGCTGCTGAAGAACTGTTGTAATATGAGCTCTTAACGGAGTACGGGTTATGACCCGAGCTGCAGAATTTTGAAGAAGTTGGAGTTTATGAAGGGACCTTTTAGGGAGACCAAATAGGAGGGAATTACAGTAATCAATACGGAACATAATAAGACTACGGACAAGGACGGCAGCAGCATGGGGAGTAAGGAAGGGACGGAGTCATTTAATATTACGTAAGTGGAAGTAAGCAGACCGGGTTATGTAATTAATGTGAGACTGGAATGAAAGAGTATTATCAAGTATGACACCCAAACTCTTAACCTGAGGGGAGGGAAGGGTGGGAGAACGTTCAATGTTAATGGAAAAACTGTGGGATTTGGTTAAGATAGATGGTGTACCAACAAGTAAAACTTCAGTTTTATTACTGTTGAGTTTGAGAAAACTGGAGGAGAACCAGGATCTAATCTCAATAAGACAGTCTGAGAGGGAGGAAGGTGGGAGGGATGAATTGGGTTTAGAAAGAATGTAGAGCTGGGTGTCATCGGCATAACAGTGAAAATTTATATTAAATTTTCGGAATATATGACCAAGAGGGAGCAACTAAGTAATGAATAAAAGAGGCCTTAATACTGAACCCTGGGGCACACCAGCAGAAACAGGACAGAGACTTGAAGAATGGGATTTAAGTTGGATAAACTGAGTGTGGTCTGAGAGATAGGAGGTAAAACAGGTAAGGGGGGTGTGATTAATACCAATGGAAGCTAACCGTCCAGGTCCATCACATATTTGAAGAAAAAGATTTTAAATTCAATAATAGATGTGTCAGAAGTGCAGCAGAATCACAAAACTATGGCCATTTGTTTATGTATTTATTATTATTTATTTTGTATTTCAGCAAAGTACTCAAAGGAAGAGGTTAGCAAACAAATGTGGGGGAGTCAGGGAGATGAAAAAAGTAGACAGGAGTGTTGTAATGCTGGGTGTACAGCAAAGGAGAAGGCTTATAGTGAGTAATGAGCACTACAGATGCAATGTTTGTTTTGAGAGAGTGTTGATGGAGAAGTATAGAGAAGGTCAGAGGTAGCGTCACTGTGACTTTGTGGATTTAAAGAAAGCATAGGATAGGAACTACATGAGGAAGCCAGGAGGGGCAGAGGTATGTGTGGCTGGTATAGGACATGTATAAGGACAGTGGGACGTTGGTGAGGTGTCCAGCAAGAGTGACAGATTGGTTCAAAGTGGGGGAGCAATTACATCAGGGATTATCTTTCCTATTTGCAATGGTGATGAATAGGTTGGCAGATGATGTAAAGTTGATGTAAAGATGATGTACATATAGTCTCCATAGACTATATGTAATTGAAACATAACATACATAATTTCCTTAATAATAATTAATAATAACTAATAAAGTATTCCAATTCTGAAACCTGGACAAGTGAAAGTATGCTACATTTTAATTTCTCTTCTCTAAGAGAGGAGGAATGAAAGTCAACAGAGCCAGACAGAATACTGGTGTGTGAGAATGATGATGTGAAGGGCACAGGTGTAACAGCAAAGCTACAACAAGTAGTGGCAGTTATGGTAGATGAGTTTAAATTCCTGGTCTCCCATCCAAAGCAAGGGACTGTGCCCAAGAGAGGTGAAGGAGAGACGCAGGCATGCAGGGTTGAGTGGGTGGAGATGACATCAGGGGCAGTCATGACCTGCTACAATGTATGGTTTGGAGATTGTGACACTGACCAAAGGAGGTGCTGGAGGGGGAAGAGCTGAAGATGTTAAAATTTTCGTTGAGAGTGATCAGGAGGACAAAATCAGTATATCAGATGGACAGCTCAGGTTGAGCGGTTTGGTGACAGAGTAAGAGAAGCAAAACTGAGATTGTCTGGATATGTTCAGAGGAGGGATAGTGGATATATTGGACAAAGGATCCATGCAGGAAGCAAAGAGAAAGCCTTCATAGGAGGTTGGGGATGTAGTGGATGTAGGAGGACAGGCAAAGGGTTTGTGTGAGAGAAAAGTATGCTAGGGATCGGGTGGCATAAAGGGAGATGATCTACTGCGTCAACCGCTAAAGGGAATAGCCAAAAAAAGACAAAGAAAGAAAAGAGACATGACAGCATTGTATGTTTATACACTCGTCTTTGAGTACAGCTAATCTAAGATACTTCATGTGCCTTTTAGAATCCAAACAATACCTCAACTGTTAGGATGCAAGCCTTCTATAAATGGATCAGATGCTGCAGTTCTGCGTGTGTACTGACTGTAATGATTTGTACAGTATTATAGGATGATACAGCTTACATTACACAATTTCCACATTCAATAACACATTACCATGTTCTACAAAAAAAACTATTTTTACAAAGCTGCTAACAGAGTTACTATAAAATAGTAAAATACAAAGTAACATAGGAAACAAATTCAGCTCACTCGCCATCTAGTGACTGATAACCTTCACTTTATGGATTATCTCTCTTTAACAATGATCTTCAACACAGATATGTGCAGTGTTGGGGAGTGCTGGGGAGTAATGGAATACATGTACCGGCGTTACATATTTAAAATACAAAATATGAGTAACTGTATTCCATTACAGTTACCGTTTAAAAGGTGATAATTAGAATGCAGGTCCTTTGTTGAAATAAATGGATTACATGGCAGTCTTTTCCTGTTTCATATGTTAGGCTATCCCCTCTCTAATTCTCCAACAAAACACACAATTAGAGGCTCTAATGTAAGTGTCCTGTTAATGTTGGTGGCCTCAGTTACACAATTGACCCGGAGCCAGCGCAATCACCAATTTACAGTTACAGAAGAAAGGGATGGGTGAAATCTGAGCGTGCAATGCAAACTTTGTTTGCCAGCAACCAATCTGCTCTCAGTGTCAAAAGACTCCAACCTAAAGAAACATCTGGAAGTAAGTTGTTTTAAAAAAAAACTAACATTAGCCTACTGCAGCTAGCTTGTTTTAGTTCTGGTAGCTACCTGGATTATGTGCCACTTTAGTATCTTCGATGTACTATTGCTGTGTGATTTACTACTATTACTGAAGGCTACTTGCCACCAAGCTAACATTGTTAGCTGGCGTTAGCTGAGGTTAGTTCATAGACTGTTAGACTTGCTGGATAGCATTAACAACCTGCTAGCTTCAAATGTGCACTTCTGAATGCAGTCTATGAACTAACCCCAGCTAACACCAGCTAGCAATGTTAGCTCGTTTGCGAGTAGCCTTCAGTAATAGTACATTTACGTAGTTGTAAAAAGCATGACAATATTATGTAATCCAAAGTACTTAGAATACATTACTCACACTGAGTAACTTAGAGAATACATTGCAAACAACATTTTGGGGCATGTATCTGTAGTGGAGTACATTTCAAAAGTAACCTTTCCAACCCTGGATATACGTGTGTTAGCATCTCTGCCTCGCTCTTTGTTTACATCATCCTATTCCATCTGACTGTCTTTGCCCCCCTCTGGCATGAGATTCAATTCTTCCTCTTCCTCTTCTTCCAGCGTGCAGTCACTCATTTGGCCCCAAAGTGGAGCCAGTCTGCCCTCTGCTGTCACACCCATTGGCTGAATGATTTGTTCACTGAGTAAGAAACAGTATATACATTATTATAAATGAAAGCTTCTCTTTAACCATACTGTGTGTTCTGCATTATTAACACACTCACCGTGACAGTCTGTTGATCATACTGATGAGGTGACGTGCCTCCTCTTCTTTCTCTTCGTCCGTCATGCCCTCCATTGGATCAGGCTGGTCTGCTTCTACCCGGCCTGTCACCAGGTTAATCTTGGCTTTGGCCTCTCGGTACTCTTCTGTGTCTGAGTCTGAGTCGCTGGAGTACTGGCTGTTACTAGAACTCATTCTACCATTAAGCAGTCCCCGAGCTGCCAACAGCCCTGCAGCATTGCCATATCCAGTATATTTGACAAATCGGCTGACTGTGAAGGGAACACAGAAGAAAGTGTTTCCATATGAAATAATTTCCTACTGTGCAGTGATTGTTTCCATGTATATTTCTGAAATGTGTTTTATCTTTTGTCATATTTATTTATTTATTTATTTTTAATTCACTTTCAATTCTAAAGTGTTCCCTTGTTTTGTGTTCTCCCTTCTTCTGTTATTAGTGTTTGCATTCCTGGCTCCTTTCCAGCCTTGTTAGTATTTCTATTGGTTTTACCTGTGAGTGCCAACAATAAAGCTGCCCTTT